GTCTACATTCATGAATGTATAAATCCAGGCAATGATGCAAAGACTATTTTTTGTATTATTAATCTTTATTTAACCAGGGAAATCCCACTGAGATCACAGACTTCTTTTGCAAGGGAKGTCTGGGCCTGAATGCAGAACRTTCTAACTACCCACAAAAAGACCCAGGGATCAAACCCATGACTTTCTTGATGTGAGGCAACAGTGCTACCCACTGAACCATCGTTCTGCCAAAGGTTGCATTTCTTTGTATAAAATGTAAGCTTTGGGTTTTACCTGCTARTTGATTTTAAAAAGGTATTTAATAGCACAATTTACTTCACAATGCTGCTGCCCTTGGGTCAAAATGACCCACAGTGCATGTTTGTCAGGTAGGGCAGCAGGAGGGTTAAAGCAATGCTGAAGATGTTCGAAAGAGGGGTTCTGTGGAAAGTTATAAACAAATATTATATTTCCTGTTGTAGATAGATCTGTGTTTGACCCCAGTTTGAAAAAATAGCAAAGTCTGGGCATTAAATCAACCACTGTCTGTAACAGTTTTTTGGGGGCTTCCCCTAATATTCAGTCATCAAAATTATGAATGTTCAATCACAGCAGCAGGTGCAGCATTCAACATGTTGACTGCTGGTAACTCAAAGGTGCTCAATAAGATTTCAGTTTGTAAGTTTTGTTGTCAGATTTTAGTTTTTTTTCATTCTGCCAAACATTTCTCTCCAGCTGCTTTCGTTTTCCCCTCCATGTCCAAAACACAGCTGCAGCATTCAGTGATTCCCTCCACAAACACCATTATTCTGCTTCAAACAGCAGCGTTCCTCAGCCATGTCCTGTGACACATGCAGAGTGAAGCTGTAAAAGCCAACATCTCCAGAAGCTGCTGCTGCGGTCTCTCCATTTTTTTTATTTAGTTTTTTTTGTTTTTTAGCTCAAATCAATCACAGCAATCATACTTTTTGAATAAAAAACAAAAGACTTCTCATTCCTTCTGTGAAATGAGTTATCTGGTACTCATTGATTTCCTGCTGCTGTTTCAAATCTTTCTTTCATTTTTATTCTTACAATTGTGATGTATTTGTTCAAGGTGCATTTGCACATCTGTCTTCTTCAWAACTCTCTTGGTTATAATGTGTCCAACAGTGGAAAGAAGAAAATTAAATATTTTAAATGAGCTCATGATTTGAGTGTTTTTTCTCCATCCTGAAAGCAATAGTACACAATTTTTTTATGTTAGAAAATGTAGTTCTTCTAACTTAAGAAGACCAATTCCTCCGTGCATAAACTCYAAATGAATAAATAATGTATCTTATTATCTGTTGTGTTTTATAATGTTCTAACTTTTGCAACAATTAAAGAAAAATCCAGAATATCAAGGATGTGTATGCTTTGTTTTAACACGACAGTCTTTTTACATAAAAAAAACCCAAAAATCAGTGTTTCCACTTTATCCTTGAATTTATTTCAGATAGTAGTGTCAGTGAAGAAGAAAGTCATCCTGTTTTAGGCTCACAGAAATATTAGAGGATGACCTTTTTTTTTCTGGGCCTCAAAGATAAAAGCGTGATGACAAAGATTCACCACGACTGTTTTTGGACTCTCACCTTTCCAGCTCTCAGTCTGCTGCWCTGCAGCACAGATGGAAATATTGTTTGACAGATTCAAAGCATTTAGTTTAGCTGCTGCAGTTCTGACCAAAATGTGAATAAATTTAGCAAAACAAAATTGATGCACCTTRGCAGAAAAATCACTGAATTAACTCTGCATCTTGTTAAAATGGACCAAGCGTTTATTTGCAGCATGAAACTAAAAGTTATGAATAAAATATACCCTTRTAAAAAAGTATTCAACATTATAACTGAAGTAACAGAGTTTGCAAAGAACTTTTTTTATGTTTTCTTTGTACGTCATGGTTCTGTTGTGTAATAATCACTCATAAGAGAATGTGATAAGGCTTTTGCTTATAGTCTGTGAGTTTGTGTGGCTGTTTAGTTGTAACATCTACAACTGGTTTACTCTTGGAGTCACCCTAACATGACCATTGCAGCTAACTGACCTTAGCTGACACAAAAATCGCTATGAAGCTAACAWTWACTRTGGTAGTAGCTGAGAAGCATCCTCAATGCATATAGGTCACTTCAGCTCCCAGCAGATCATGTAACATSTTGTAATATTGCATGARATTATGCAAAGCATCATTAGAAGGTTCGTCTCTGTCCTCTCTTAGCATAAAATGATTTGATCTCTGACATGAAAGGAGACAGGCGAAATGTTTTCAAAYGGCTCATTTTACTGTTTTAAATTAGCTGGCGTAAAATTGAATGAAGTACTGSTTTATTATTTCTGCACGTGTTGCTTCTCTGCACTAACCAGCTCTGCTGTTTAACAGAATGTTACAAACATCTGGTCTAAAAGAATATGGAGAAAGTGGTGTGTAAAGTGCATCTGGTCATAAAACTGCTAGATCCAACTCTGAGCTCTGTGTTGATGACCACCTCTTTTTAAATCGAATTAAGTTCATAGATTCATACAAGCTCTCATGACCACATTACAATCAAGGATATAATTGTAATTTTGTGCTACAATATTTACACAGATGCACTGGCAGAAGATTAATCTATGACACTGGATTAAATCACAATCATTGGATGAATTCTGAGCTTTATATATTTTTTAAATTTTAAACTTGTTGAGGACTTGTTGAGAAATAAAACCTGACATTGTCGATAAAGAAAAGCCTTCTGAGTGGCAGAGAGATTGTTCAAACAAACTGATATGAAAAAGAAAAAAAATGATTTTTTTTCTTTTGTTCCAAACCTCCCCCTCAGCTTTGTTGCAGGTGTTTCACCATGTTTCATGTTTTTTTTTTTCAATGCATGCAATCCACAGGCAATTTCCTTGTTCCAATATATGATGAAGACAAATCCCTTAAATCCAACCTTTTAGCACAAAATACTGGCTTTGCTTTACCTGTTCAGTGTAACATACTCAATGGAGATGCCTTTAAGGGCCACTGATGTGATGAAAACATAAAGGGTTTCTGAGAAATCAAAGAATTTGACACGTTTACTTAAATTTATGAATTTGGATTTCATGCTGGGTTTCATATTGTAGAGTTCTTGCAAATATTAAGCCATTTCTTTATGTTCAAAAGGAACTTGATGTTTCAACAACTCATCAACCTAAATTGCAACGTTAATATACAGTAATTTCACTATGAATGAAAAAAAACAATATAAAATATGAGTTTTGCTTATACCAGCTCCTTTTTTATTAAGATGACCTTGTAAGTTGGTCAAAATGTAAAATATCTTTTTTGTTTTATGCCTGTTTAGAAATAAATGTCTATTCTATTCTATTCTATTCTATTCTATTCTATTCTATTCTATTCTATTCTATTCTATTCTATTCTAACAGTCAAGTAAAATCCCAGATCCAAATCTTTTTGAAATGCTCTTGAGGTATTAAGAGACAGGTAATATGCAAAACAGTAAATACCCCGCAACTGAGAGCATTTAACATCAAGATAATTTATACAAGTGGATTTGAGTTTGGCTAAAATGCACCTATTCATCATCAGATGACTTGATGGAGATTTATTCACCTTGTTTTGCTTCAGCAACACAATATTATTGTAAGCCTTTGAATGAAATCACAAGACAGTCAACCATTTACATCATTTGGCAGGTTTTGTGTATTTTCTTGTCATTCGTTGCCTTTTTCTTCTGTTTTTTTATTTCTAATGCTTTCCTCTTAACAGTGTATGCTATACACAAGAATATTTAAAGAAAAGAAAATCAATTGAAATACAGTATATCTCATCTGAGCAAGACTTAATTTTCTKTGCTCCATTCCATTCGAGATGTTTTTATTTCATCAAATAATTCCAGAAAAAAATGACAAATTTGTGTAAAAGAAACAAATACAGAACTAATAAYTTTAGATATTTTTAGAAAAACAAGACAATTTACATTTTTGAAACATGTGCTTTACAGGACTACTTGATGACAAACTAAACTGTGTAACACTGAATACACACATGATGGAGATAATTCGGCTGTGTTTAGCTGTGGGGGTGATACGCTGCAACGCCGACAAACCTTTGGCACAATTAACAGCTGAAAAGGCTGACAGTGAACGCAGCTTTTACATTCATCATTATTCATTTTTACTTCAACATTATTTTCTCACACATTTTGCCCATAAAATAGGAATGTATTTCAAAACTGTTGGAGGCAATTTCCTGGCATGAATCTTTAATGACAGACCGTCATCAGGAGAATGGGAGCTGTTGCAGCTGAGGCAGTGATTCAAATGTCTGCAGATGAAGTCCATTATAGACGCAGTGCTGAACTGAGCTAAAAATACTGGAAAACACTGTCGGACAAAACTAAATACACATGTATTTTTCAAATACTCTACTATATCAGTGTTTGTTTACACACATAAGTACAAAGAAATGTGCATTAAATAAATAATGGTAATACAATTTGCAGTGGTTCTTAATTTTACAGTCTGTGAAGTGACTCAAAACTGTGCTGAAATACACAATACTCATGGAGAACATTTCATCTGAGGACAGAATTTTTGTAGCCATGGAGAAGTCCCGGGGGCTTATTGATTGGATGGGAAGTAAACTGAGTGGACACAGAAATGATTCCCCAAAGTGGCTCTAAAATGTTCGTCTGCGTGCTGCCTGATGAAGTAAAATATGCAGCCACTTATCCAAACTCCAGTGAATGTAAAAAGAAGCAGAAGTGTTCTGCATTCAAATCTCTTTAAAGCAGTAGTTGGGAGTCTTTTGAGGTGTGAGTTTTGAGGAAACTTTATGAGTAATCATTATCTTACCTGGTGGAGATCGCTCTTTGAGTGGCCTCAGTTGGAAGAAACTGAGTTTAATTCTGACCAGTCTGACAAGCTAACTGCTAGGCACAGCCAAAACTAAAACCAAAGTGGATTGCATGCAGCTGTCCTAAAATAACCCCTTTTACAGCCATTCTTGCCAAGCTTTAAAATGCAGTCAAATTCACATTACATGATCATTTTGGCAGAAAACATGGCCCATCACATCGAAACGAGGATTAAGTCAAAAAAATGGAATGTGGAGAATTAGGTTTTGATTTAAACGTGTGCAAAAATTACATTTTATCAAAATATAATGAATTAATGCCTTATCAATGTATAATTTGCACGAACTCTCTGAAATATAATACTAAAAATAATTTAAAGCATGTTTTTGAGGAGTAGCCACAAAAAAAAAAACAGATTTTGTGGAAAAATGCCTTTAAAATTGAGAATTTTTCCATGTGAGCTAGCAATGTTTTTTTTAATATACAAATAATATTTGAAGTTTCCTCTTTATAATGACGTACAAATTTACTCAATAAATTTACATAAAATTAGGATTTAGAC